CCAAAGCAAATATGTTGATTTACCCTTCATATAAAATGTACTTTCTGCTTGGAAAGTGTTTCACAAATGCAGATAAGAAAACAGTACTTTGCCACATAGAACCAGGTATAGGGGGTCTACTCACTGAATATTGAATGGGGATGTTTTGAATATTCACTTAAAGGACCACTGTAGTGCCAGGAAAACAAACTCGTTTTCCTGGCAATATAGTGCCCTGAGGGTGCCCCCACCCCCAGGGTCCCACTCCCGTCGGGCTGAAGGGTGAGGAAGGGGGTTAAACACTCACCTTTCTCCAACGCCGGGCTCCCGCGCTGGGGACTCTCCTCCTCCTTCGGTTGTCATCGGCTGAATGCGCATGTGCGGCAAGAGACGCGCGCGCATTCAGCCAGTCCATAGGAAAGCATTCTCAATGTTTTCCTATGGACGCTGGCGTCTTCTCACTGTGAAAATCACAGTGAGAAGCGCAGAAGCGCCTCTAGCTGCTGTCAATGAGACAGCCACTAGAGGCTGGATTAACCCTAGTGTAAACATAGCAGTTTACTATAGAGGAGCCTAATGTACATGCGCAGAGAGTGCCGTTCGCGCATTAGAGCTTCACCATAGAAAAGCATTGAAATAATGCTTCCCTATGGGGATTTTCAAGACACTGGACTCCCTCATGCAAAACGTGAGTTAAACTTCGTGTGAACCAAGAAAGAGCCTCTCTAAAACTACAATATTTTACACTGCATGCATAAAGTGAAACTGTCACAGCTTTCTGACCCTCCGCTCCCCCACACCCCAATACAATTAAAGAACTGGGCTTTACACTTCTGCAATGTCCACCTCCAAACTGTCCGCACTCCTCTTCTGCTCTTGACAATGATGCCAGCGTGCCTGGCGCCATATCACTCCACTCCTATACACCATAGCCAGCTCTATCAGACTGTGTTGATATATGCCTGCTTTGTGTATATATAGGGCAAGACCTTACCCTAAAGAATCTTGGTGGTGGTCTCCAGTGCCAGAGGAGAAAGGACAATGTAGTGGGATAGTTCTGGATTCCAAGCTAGCGGCTACCCTATTGCCTTTGAAAAGTGTGTCTTCCTTTTTTTATACTACAGTAAGTGCAGATTTAAATAGAACTTATCACTTTTACAAATTAAGCTTGCAACACGTCGCTGGCTGTCACTCACACAACCGGTCCTGTTACACCCTTTTAGTTTGACTCAGTGGAGCTAAACTCAAGAGGTAGACAATTGCCCAGAGCACCTGTTTTACAAAGACTTGAGCTGGATTGGGAAGTCTGTGAATTAACAGCCACAGAGTCTTTGCTGGGTAAAAAGGGGAGGATTTGCAATGCCTGCAGACAGCAGATCTTTAACTTTGCAAGCTAATTTTACATATACCCTTAATGAAATAATGAAGGCATAAATGAACTCATGTTTTCATCTAGGGTATATCTACAAAATTGTATAAAATATATTTCTTCCATTAATGTGCTCCTTTTTTTTAGTTTTTCTCACATGCTAAACTGTTAGATTCTTGATAGTATGTTAGATATATTAGAACCTTTCATATTTACATACAGTTTGAAGGTGCTCTGTTTAAGGCTAAGGTCACCTATTGCTATTGTTGCTTAGATATGTAAACATTTTCAATATTTGGACTGTGAGCAACTATCTCTTAGTTCCTGTTTCAAAGAATCTAAATCTCACTTGACCTTTGAAATATTCCATTATATATAAGAACTTTTATTATATGACTCACTGACCGAGCAGGTTCTAGAGGAACCTATTTGTATATACTAACATTTTATTTACATTACACGGCACATTCCATGTTTTAATTATTGGTTAACAGTCCCATGAGCTATCATGTGCAATTACTTTTATCCATTTCAATGTCACTTAATGTAGCGAGTTCAAGATGGCAGCAAACAGGAGGCCCTGCTACTGTTCTAATTAGCAGATATTTGCGAGAACGCTCATAAGAATTATCTCCAGCTGTCACAACCCTAGATCAGCATGTGGTATTTTCTATATATATATATATATATATATATATATATATATATATATACCTGAGTATATACTATATAGTCATTTTGTCTAGTCACTATCAGTCTATGAACAACATCCAATAAATTAAACATGGATGTTTTTTAAACTCAAGTTTATATATTGTATAGATCCAATATCTTGCCTTCATCATAATTATTTATTTATATAAATGGTACTGGGCACAGCGAGTAAAGTGTACTGCAGAAGAGAGACTAGAATGGACAAAGCAATACAGCTTACAAAATGTAGTAAGACTGGGCTGTCTACAAAAACTGAAGGTCTTATGGGCAGGCGGAAGGAGAGTAGTGTCAGGATTCCTCCCTATTCTACCAGGTTTTGCCGATGACTACCAGGTTTCGCCGATCTATCTCCGCCCATGCGTCTGACGTCACACGCTTCCCTTTAAAAGGAAGCCATGATCGCATCCAAATTGCTCAATCAATGTTTTCTTGTGTTTGATACTCTCGCATACTTACTATCTTGTTGCCTATCTACCAACGGAGCGTCTAATTGATTTGCTGTTTACCGAACCTCTTGACTTAATCCAGACTACACTCTACTCTCAACTCCCTGACTTTGGAAGACTTTACTTATGATTCCTGCCTTTCTCCACATACCTCAATGAACCATAAACAATTCTATACTGGAAGAACTCTCATCCTCATCACTCAATGCAAGATAAGTTCTCCACTTATTGGGATTAGCAATAGGTTCTTTACTGAAGTTATTTGCATATTCTAATTGCAAGTCTCATAAGCCAATTACTCACTCTTCAATTATCTTATTCCTTATTATTTGGCGTCTAAAGGACTATAACCACTGTGCAACCAGGATCTACCTAATTGCCAGATTTTGTTGTCTTTTTTTCAAAAGGACTGTATTGTTTCATACAACAGGAATCAACCCACCTGCTCTGTCAAACGTTATATGGAAGTCTATGGTCTGTATTGCTAATTAAGCATTTTCCTATTTTTTATATGCTATATTCTTGTGATGCAATTTTGAAACAAGATTACAAACATTCATTCATTATTATTTCAAAACCTTATTGTTGTAGAAGTCTGCCAAGTCTAAATTTCTTTATTTAAATAAATTATATTTTTCTTAAAGTGACGGCTTCAAATGTATTTGTTCACCTGCAGTTGAGTGCCAAATCCATTTTTCCCCTAGAAGTATTACAAGTAGGAAGTTAAGTTATGAATAAATGATAGAACGGTATGAAGCTAAACAAAAACAGCAAGAAAAGAAACATGAAAAAATGGGACCCAAGAGAGAGAAAAAGAAGATACATGTGGAAGGACAAAAACTAAAAAAGAGAAAACAATTTGGAAGTCTAGAACGGACATAAGAGTGGAAATGTAATGGAGGTTAATGATAACATATGAAGCATACAAAGCAAACGCAAACAAGCCTCCCAAACTCTACAAGGGTAAATACATAACCTGGAAAACTGGTTAATAACCTGGAAAACTGCCTCTCTGCTATTTCCAACTGGATGGCTGCTCACTTCCTTAAACTCAACCTGTCCAAAACAGAACTAGTTTTTCCTCCCTCAAGTGCTGCTACTCCTGTGTCTGTCACCATCCAAGTCAATGGCGCTACTATCACTGGCGGATCCAGGGGGGGGGCAACGGGGCAATTGCCCCCCCCCCGAGAAATCCGCCGGTCTCCCTCTCCCTCCCCTGCCAGGACATGCAGGTGCCAGCCCTGCAATGTGCCTGCGGACCGGAGGGGAGATCAGAGATCTCCCTCCCCGGTCCGCAGGCACTGTGCTGACAGCCGGCAGGGGAGGGAGGGAGTGAGAGAGAGGACCCGGAGCTCAGTCTGCAGCTCCTCCGGGTCCTCCTCTCGTGAGATTTGAAGCGTTGCCGCGGTTACCGCGGC